TCCCACCAGTAACACTTAAATTTAATGAGCCAGGCTGCTTGCATGCCCCTACTATTTGCATGTATGCTTGTATTTTTGTTTTCTATCTTATTGTTTCGCTAACTAAGGTATCATTGGCATTTTCCTTATGGAGTGCAAGGTTTGGTGATACGCTTCAACAGATTTCAATGCTAGGATGAAAATCGACCAACTGCCCGTTATCGAGCTGTAAATTGTAGAACTCTGTTGTAGTACACCAGTAATCACAGCGAAATCATTAAAAAGTGGCAGATACTCCTCATCAAGTAATCTTGAAGAGCCTTGTATACCAGTAGCAGACGTGTGGCTACAGATGCATAGCTACTTGACCGGTGTAACCATACCTCCGGTTGACTTTGTCTCCATGTGACTTGCAAGCTTTGACCGATGGGAACCTAGCTTGGAACAACTCTACGAATCCCAAAGCAAATCGACTGTCAAGGAAACTCAAGAGGCCGTTAAATTATTCTCGGAAACGTATTTCCCCTGAATTTGATTAGGACGAGCACAACGTGTTGAGCGAACATAAAGACCGTAGCTGAGGAAACGATTGTGACGATCCCGTTGACTAGTATTGGGGCGATTTGAAAGTGAGAGAAAGATCGAATAATATGAGATGTATGGGGACGTGCTACATTCCTAGAATTTGTCTGGTCCGTGTCATGGTTCCTCTCAGTAACAGTAACAGAAATACGTAATCAACAGCAGCGCACTAAAGCTAAACCCTGCACTAGGCCAATGCGACTACCTCGTCAGCAGAAGAGTTATTTGTTAGCCGTGTGTAAAGAGTAATGCTACTTTGCTAAACATCACAAAAGCCGGTGTTCGTGACTCCAGGAATAATGTTTACCCTACCAAATTTTTTTAGCTTGGAATCTTTCACAGCTACGCAGACCATGTGTAAATGAAAACAACCACTTTATGCTTGCCGTGGCCGGGAACCGTATTATTGTGCATACACCAAAACTACTTACACATTGGACAACTTACTGTTGCATCAAACTCCATACCCTTCGCCTTCACCGTCAAAGGTATGTATTAATGTAACCAGTTTTTCCACGAAATTTGCACCCTAGTCTTGCCTAATACAAATAGCTAAATAAATGGTAGACACAACGGGAATTTGAGGTTGATACCAGCGTTCCAAACGCGTAACTGGTGGGGCACTGCCAATGGCACTCGGTCACATCCTACGAATTGCTGTGAAGTGGATACGACTGGTTGACAGTTGCACATGGGACACTGCTGTCAAACTCTTGGAGTGAGAATTAGCTCGTGAGCACACGCGTCCACCAGCACAGCAGCGAATCCTTGTGTCATCCACAGAAGATCACTTGACCCACTTGGGGCACCGCCAGGCAAGTCGCCCAGTTGCGCCACATGTACGATCAACCACACGCCGGTAGAATTGACCTTTCCAACACAAACTGAATGGCACGAAAGTGTGTTCCCCACGAGCCCATGGAGTGGCCAGACATTTGTAAAACGGTACTAAATGGGTTAGATCAGATGGATCCAATCAATCCAACGGATTTTCGGCCGAGGGGTCTAGGTGCGGTCCGCATGTGCCTTTGCAATCCACAGACCGAATTACTGCTCAAATATGACTGATACTATTGCGGGCCTGTCAAATATTCCCGCAAAAGCGCGCCAGTAACCCGGGCAGAATGGCTGTGCAAAACGAGGTCCAATTCCTCCCCACAACGCAGCAGCCTTCAGTCACTCCTAGACGCGGCCCAACTGCGCACCTTTTGATAATGGTCTTTTACGAACTACCACCTCGTCGTGATAGTAATTTTCCATAACTTAATGACCCATAGTATTGGCTGTGATTCGCCCTTTGTTGGTCGTAAAAGAGCCTTCAGAGGACCACTTGCCTTTCTTCCTCTTCGCCTTAGTTGGGAGTCGGTCGGGTCACGTGATTTTTGTGTGCGTCGTTAGCCGGGCAGTCTTCGCGCCTAAGTCATTAGCCTGCGTCTATCATAACCCCCTCTCGTGTGCGTCCGTTCCGAGGGCTCAGCGTCTACTCTAATACGTGCGGCTAGGATCGTTCTCACGCTCGCTCAATTTCCGTCTCACCAGCGCATACCCCGGGCTAAGCTAACGCCATCAGGTCAGCGCAACTCCGTTCGATTGGACAGCGTTCCAATCCGTTACCGTAGGCGTACTCCAATAGTGACAGTGACAAACGTATCAGGCGTTACGCAATCATAATAGAGGCGTTTCCATCAATTAAAACCAATACAATGGCTGCAGCTGATCCGGCTCGATCCGATCAGGAAGTGAAAAGCACTACATCGATTGTAGATAGCATAAAATCGAGGTGTATTCACACATGTGATTGCATGGAATGAGTGAAACACCATGGGAGAAAATGGACCTCCTAACGAAAGAAATGGTTTTATTTCAATTTTATAGCCTCAATGAGGAAGGATTCTTTCATAAATAAGGGAAACTTGGAAGGAATGAGGGAAACATCCACTATAATCTACAGGGTGAGGGTGAGTAAGGTTCATCTCAAGTACAGGCCCAACAAAATAAACATGACAGCGGTTTAATATGAAATTTATTCCTTCAGAGGCTATTGGCGGGGATTGGAAGAAAGTTAGGTCAGCTGGTGGAGCGGCAACTGACTTACTGTTCATAACATCGTATAGCCCAAAAGTTCGATTTCATTTATAACACACCTTTCCTCAATACTTCTAACTACCACACATAAATCAGTAAAAATGAAAAAATGTAAAAACTGTATATATCAACAATTTAACTCTGAAACATCTGATCTGGACAACAATCTCTTTCACCTTTATTCTTGTGACTGTCTCTCATTTCAGATTGTATAAGTGCATCTTCAACAAAGACAGCTTATTACACACTCATTATCTGATATATCATGCAGGTACCCCAATGATGCGAGTGCACGCCGGCATGTGACACGATGTACATGTTATCATTCTTTTGAGGTGATTCGTCGCAGCTAAACTCATCCAGGTTTGGGAAAACACATCCAGGAAAGCGCTAGACGTCCGTTTCTTCATATCGGGACTCGTCAGTAGGGTGCACTGGTCGCAACCTGCCGCACTAGAACCCATGAACTTCGTTTTACGAGCCAGCGACTTATACCACTGAGCCATGGGTGACGGCAGCAGACCGTGATAAAGAGCGACTCATCCTCCAGGATCTTGCACGTTGTGAAGGTACAGAAGACCTGGCTGGCCGCTAGAGCTACTGGTACCTGAGTTTGGCTGCGACGAAGCTTTTCAAACACACAATAAATCGACCTACTATTAAGTAATGTTATCAATCTTATCATATACAATCTCACTAAATGACAATTAACCGTCCAGAATTTGGTTTACCAGCGGCGTAGATGAATCGTGATCGACATTCACAATTTTGCCAAAAGTTACCTAAGTGTTATGCAAGATTATTCGGGCCGCTGGAATCACATTGCAAATGTCGACATTCCTGGTGTTACTCCGTTCACAGACTATGCTCCAAGACTAACATAAGGCTTGTCCAAACTGTTTACTTTGAGCAACAGTGAAACCTCCGTAACCTAACCACTCAAGGGACTGGACGAATGTGGTCAACATGGTTAGTGGAATCCGGTTCCGGATTTGCCTTGGCTGCGGCCTCCATAGGACAGCCACAGGACGCTTGTACCTACAGAGTGACCATGGATGGCTTGTACTCTACCACCCACAGATCCATCCACACACCCCATATCCGGCGTAAACCGGAAGCAATAAGACTGGGAGGCATGTGGATGGGAGCCACGTTTCTGCGAAGGAGCTGGCTCACACTACTTCAACAAGCTGCGCAGAAGCATTCATGCCTAATTGGGTAGTCATGCGCACCAGACGTACACAAAGCGGTGGTTTGACCCTAGCCCGTTCCACACTGGATCACGGCGCCAATTGTTAATCCTAGTACGGCCACGAGGACCGTACACTCTGTCCCCTCCAGCAACGACAAACTGTTCCCTAGAGCCAACATAGGCGAGGTAGTGGATAATAGACGGGTAGGTACCTTGTCATCATTCACATCAAACGCAGTTACACCGGGAATATCAAACAAAAACCAAAACCTGAAATGCAAGCATCTCAACACGCAGGCACACCCCAGACCAACTATAAGGATGATGTGGCATATGTACCACATCAAACGATTTATTTACCTGGCTTAGTAAATTGAATCGACAGCAGCGAACTAACCAAGCGCCGCTCTGATGACGATTATACATTTAGCATACTAATACTACTACTAATAATAATAGTGATAATGGCCAAAAAGCGTTGCCCACCGTGACCCGGTAGCCAAAGGGGTAGTGGTGTGGGCTACTATTCCAATGGTAGCGGGATCGAGGCCTGCTGTCTCCACCTGATGAGATGAAATTACATCGAAACGCGTCGTGGTTGTGAAGTGTTTTCGGGTGGGCAACACCCAATTTCCATCTAATAGTGATAATGAGTATTTTACTCTTTATGTGCGCAGCTGCGTCCATAGTTGGCAGAGAACAAATATGTACAGCTAGTACCATGCTCTTGCATGGGCAATATGAAGTTGCAACGAATAAAATATGGTGGTATATTCCCCGTCGGTTCGACGTACTTTCCAACTAGATATTACGATTCTTGGTGTACGGCAGAATTGCAAGTAGTAGATGTTTTAGTTTTCGGACTTTCCGGCAGTCCTCAAGCTTATGGGCGGACATGGCTAGTTGGGCTGTTACATTTTGCGGCAAACATTTGCGGCTTTTAAAAAGTAAGTGTAGAGAAATAAAATATATAAGTGAAGTAATACGGCCATTAATGGAACAGTCTCCTGGGGACCTACTTCCATGCGGGTTCTTCTCCCTAACGTAGACCTAAGCGGAGCTGATTTTGGGAATCGTCTGCCTCAGTACGATCGATCAGGTGATCGATCAAGTAGGCAGGTACGTTTTGAAAACACAGCTAGTTTTACCTTACCTGATGTTTGTGAATGGAAGGTTTGTGTGTAGAGCGGGTGAGTTCGTTCCCTTGAAGTGGATGGGAGTGGCAGGGTGCAGAGGTAAAGAAGAAACTTTTCAACACGATGGATTTCACATGCACTGCCATGCCACATCTGGCCGTGTGCCGGTTTGTCTTTTAAACCAGGTAAGCTATACTTTACGTAACTTATCTTTAGGGCTGTGTTTCCGTTTATCTAGTATGGACAGCCATGATACATTGTCCGCACCGTCAACTGGCCCAATGTGGCGCTACTGGTGGCTTACTAATCCAGCTTGGCTCAGACACTCGCGACCACCTGTGCTACAGCCCAATTCGCTCGACGTCCATGGTCTATCCACCAAGGACACCCGTCGCTTTCTAAATCGAGGTTTCTTTTCTCCATGCCCTAGAGATTTCTCTTGCACCTGGACAACCGCCCTCGTGATTTGCTTTTGCCATGGGCACCAACCCACTACCACTGACTGCCAACCCCTGACATTAACATTAGTTTGTGAAAAACTCACATTGATCATGTCCTGGTAACGTAACTTCCGTTTCCAACTTGTCGGTTCTCTGCACACATTTATCAAAAAAGCAGCTGTTTCGATATCCGGGTCGAAGCAATGCCGCGAATATGCCCAATCTACCTCAGGTGCATCGGTAGAAGTATGAAGTCCACTGCATATATATGCCACTGCGTCCGAGAACCTCCGTGTCTGCAACTCAGTCACTCCATCCGATGCGCACACTACGACGCAAACACTGCTGATGGAAACGCTTCAGATATCGGACATCCTTGCACTAAAGTGTCCACGTTTCGTTGCCATGTAGAAGAACGGACAGCACCATAGACTTGTATACCAGCAGCTTCGTCCCAACAGTGTGCTGGTGGTTGTTGCGCACTAGATATTCCAGGTTACCAAAAGCAGCAGCTGTCATCGATACGCGGCTTCACAGCTCGCTCGTCATCTGCAGGTCGGTTGTTATTACACTACCAAGGTAGCAAAATCTCAAAGTGGTTTTCAACACTTCGTCGGCAACTTGGATTTGGACAGGCTCACTTACTCCAATACGGGTGAAATCTTGAAAAGACAAACAGTATTGTTTGTGTTGCTGATGAGCCCGCATTTGGCCGCTGTCGTAGCAAGAGCCGAAGTCATGTGCCGCAACTCATGCGCGCTGTGCGCAAACAAAGCACAGTCGTCAGTAAAGAGCAACATGGTGATAAATGTCTCACATACTAGGGTTCTCAACACGAAACGACACAGTTTCATCAACCCACCGTCAATACGGCGTTCCCCAAGGACACCGCAATCACAAGCAGTATCGAAGGTACAAACATCATAGCAGAGCAGGAGCTAAGACACAGCCTTGCTTCACACCAGAGAAAACTGCAAAGTCCTCCGAAGTTTGTCTGCAAAGCCGTACCATCTCCCGCAAACCACTACGCAGACATTCAAGTTACAAACTGATTCGGGCAATCAAACACCCAACACCAGCCACAATGTCACGCGGTTCACCGTATCAAATGCCTTGGTGAACTCAACAAACAGCTAGTACAATGGCTGGTGTCATTCTTTGCATTTCTCCTGCAACTGATGAGCCGTGAACACCATCTCTATAGTGCTGCGGCCCGAAAGGAATCAATCTGCCCCTTCCGCCACGTTCGGTTCAACGACCTATGTGACGAGGCGGAGGAGCAGGATTAGGGCGATCAATTTCCCCACACAACACAAAAACTTGATCCCACGATAATGCATGCAACATTGCTTGCTCTCTTTTCTCTTACATAGTAGTAGCACAAATGCATCCTTCAGCTAGGCCGGCACCACTTCCTCAGCGACGCGCGTTGTACCAACTGGTGCAGCGGATTCAGCAACGTTGGTCCACTGTGTTTCAATAATTCAGGCGGGATTACGCCGGCACTGGCATACTTGCCGTTTCGCAGCTGAGCAAGTGCTCTCTGCGTCGCATCCAGTGTCTGTGTGTGGGCAAGATCCGTCTTTATCTCTTGTTGTTTCAGTCTGTTCAACACAGCCCAGTAAATCTCTGAACAATTGTTAAAGAGACTGTCAAAGCGCTTTCACCAAATCTGCATTATGTCCGCAGGCTGTGTACAGACAATGCCTGAACTACCATCGGTCAGCGTCCTCAGCCGCTCCAATCTCGGTCCAAACATTGCCTACATGGAGTCAGAGAAATCCTTGTGTTGGCGGTGTTCGGCTTAGCATACCATCTGCTTCGCCATCTACATCCACCATGTAGTTTTAATGCGACGGAGCTCCCGAGTCAGTCGCTGTCGAATTTAGCGAAATTAACTCTTCATCCCCAAGTCACTGAGGTCTGCCGCATCTGCAGCAAATGCTGCATTCTTCTCACAACTCAATGCGTGAATCCTTGCACTGTCATCAGCAAATCAATCGGACCGCTTACAGTTTGCGCGCCAGATGGTCTCATCGACAGCAGCTATCACCTGGTCGCGAATGTGGTGACACAGGTCACCCACTGTGGTCATGCATTCCACATCACATAGGCATGCAGCCATCGTCTTCTCCAGCTCAATAGGTTTCTCCACAGTAACAAGAGAGAGAATGTTAAATTTACGCCTTCGGTTCACGGTATGCACACAGTACGTACTTTTCGGTACGTAGATGTGCCATGTGGCCTGCAACAATTTATGATCAATGCCACACCCACATCTACGCAGTACATGTGTCATGAGCACTTCACGCATGTCACGCTGACGTACGATGACATAATTGAGGAGATGAGCGTGAACACTCCGTGGGTGCGTCCAAGTCGTTATATCACTCGTATTCAATACAAACCGAGTATTTGTGATCGTCAGACTGTGAGTGGCACACAGTGAGAGCAGCCTGTCACCGTTTGCATTCCCTGAACCAGTGCTATGCGGACTGATGACATCTGCCCACACGGTTGAATCACGCCCATCGCGCGAGTTGTAATCACCCAGCAGAAATGGTCGATAGCTCCTCGGCACAGACAGTATCACGCAGGATAGCTAAGTGTAGAAATGAGCACGCGTGTCATCAAGAAAACACATGGTCGAACCGTAGATGCTTAGATAAGTAGCAAACTTACCCCTTCCGAGTCGTGGTCGAACAGTCATCGGTCGCGCGCTGATGCCAGTGGGCCCGCCTACCATCTGATCATTTAGGCGATCGTATAGTGTAAATCCGGCCACATGATCACGTGGCGCTGTGGTGACGTTTCCCTTCCAGTA